GATAATTCAACACAGATACGCCGTGTTTGCAGGGAAAACATGACGTTCCCAGGAAAGACCCTGACTCCACAAGACCTGCCAGGATTTCAAGCCAGCAACGAGCCCAGGTGCATTCCAAAGCCAAAGACCGATCCCTGGAAAAACTCATGCCAGAAACGTCTCTCCCTGGTGTGCAATGAGGGAATGTATTGAATGTTGAGTAATTCTTGAAAGAGCCAGCGTTGTCAGTGTATGTCAGTGTCAGTTCCTAGAGCCCCCCAAACCCTAAACCGCCGTCCGGGGGTCTACATTGTGCACCCCCGGATACGGTTTGTACGCCTAATCCCGAAACTTCGTGAGTTCTAAGCTTTTGCCTCTGAGCCGGCTGCCGCTCGCTGCGATGAGAGGCAGGAAAGCTCCCGGGACCTCATTGTTGAAATGCCGATCTCATTGCTACGGCACGAGGACGCACGCAGGATTCAGGGCAACGGCTGCTTGACGGCCACATCCAAGCCCGATAGCTTTGCATCCGTCGCAACACTGACGCACTGAATAGCTCATTTTGTGCTGGCCTTATCAGCTGGGATTGGTCCAGGATGCCGTGAAAACGTGGACGCAACAGACCAGCACAACGATCCTTCAAATATACGTGTATATATATGTATATATATATATAGAGCTAGGTTAAGGCATCAGGTACATGTAGACTTGACAGCCCACAGACCGCATAAACTGAACAAGCCGACATTGCTTTGTGGAATCCCACGGAAGGATACAAAAGGACCGTGTATCCCAAAGGCAAGATCCTTATCCCTAAGGGCCCCTGAATCCCCAACTACATATAATATAGGTCGTGCGGGTGTGAGCTTCTGGGGTTCACATGGAATTCGACCTGAGGCTCGTCCCGAAGGAAAGCTTCACGAGAAGGCGGGAAGCGGAACGCTGTGCTCTAGCTTCTTTGTTTGTGCTAGATGCCATTGAGTGCATTTGATGCCCAATGTAGCGCCTTCGGTATTCACGTTGCACTTTGCGCAGAGTTGGCTGGCACAAAAATCTTGAAAGAACCCACAGAGCCGTCCTGTTTTCAGGGACCACGGAGAATCATTCTGGGATGCACTCCCCGCTCCCCCTGAAGTCGTGTGGTAAAGATGTAACCCCCAACAAGTTCTGTAATATGATAATGCGACCCGAAGAAGTTTTTCTAGCTGCTAGCTGATGAACCACCTGTCCTCTCTGGATGCCAGGATGGCTATGAGGGATGAACGCTGAGACCAACCTGAGCTGGGAATGCTGTTCAGCGCGAGTTGCGTTTAAACCATTTTAAGGATTTAAACAACCGGAAGCCAAAAAGGCAATCGAGTCCATCAACTGTACTCATTGTTTTTGGAACATTCGGCTTCATGGTTCATAATTGAGTTCCAGATCCGTCAGGAGTAGAATGGGCCTAGCTTGAAATGGGATTGCCCTGAAGATAGAAGATTGCGGGTTCCTCTACATGGGTTTCAGTACGGGTTGGGCAATAGATTTCTTCCACTCCTTAAATAAGTTTCCAAATAAGAGCCCCTCTTGGGAGGCCTGCAGAACAGAGGTCACTCCCGCCTCTGGCGACTGTATAGGAGTCGCAGCGGACAGACTTGGTCCATCGATTGGGAAAAAAAGGCCAGCATGGCTGGCTGTCGGCTGATGAAGGAGTGAAGAACGGAGGGCTAAGTCCTGCTTGAGCTGCAAGACTAGTTCCTTTCTTGATTGAATTGCTATTCCTTCATCTCGTCAGAAAGCACAGGAGTCTGTGTGCTCAGAAGCTTACCCCTGCTATCCCCTGCTTATCCGAAGCATCTGGCTGCTGTCGCTAGAGTGTTCGGTAGACGTTGTAATTAAGGTCAGGGATATAGGACGTGTCTGGCCAGGACTCCACGTATCAAGTAGCAGCTGTAGTCGCGGCCCGCGAATCCAGACGTTTCCATTGTTTCTGAGACGGTGGTTTCTTGTCCTGCGGGAAGCTGGATACTTGTACGAGTATGGATTGGGGCGCCTTCTCGGAATGACATGAACCTCTTTTCGAGCATCATCGTCATTGGGATTCTGTTGATCGTCTGGGACATACAACAGTTTGATTTTGGTAACAAAGATAACACAGAGGCACTTGCTTGCGTCTGCTTTCTGTGTACAGTCAAAGAGCCAGGTAAGTCCGGGTTTCTACTCCAGTCGGTTGTGTTACGCAAACTGCAGCCGTTGGCCCGTGTCTAGCGAGCTTAGGTAACTTGGAAACAGAAGCATGAGCACGATGGAAGATCATGCTGTGAATTTGCATTCCTCCTATGTACGCAGATGTGCTACTTCACAAGACAAAGTCTAGGTTGTAGCGCATCTTCTCCTGGCTACAGCAAAAATTCATAGTTGCGTCAGTTGCGTCCTCATCGCGAGGCTCGGGGGCCAGCTTGCTGTATAGTACTAGTATGCTCTAGTAGATTATAGAGTACTATCGTATACCATGGTACACACCGATCCTCAGAGCTGAATGGGTGTCCCTAAAGGATTCAAACAAACGGAACTCGAACATGAACCCCTGAATTGAGAAAAACCAGGGGGTCACTTCGTTGGATCCCCAACGCGGTCTGGGAAGGAGAATGCAAAGGGAGCTTCTGGATGTCAGGTCCTCCGTGAAGAAGACTTGAGCGAGGAGGCCGGCGGAGTCGACAGCAAATGCCAGCAGTGCGTGGGAGTAGTTAACCAGCAGTGGCTTCAGCTGGCTTCTAAGCCCCTTCAAGTTGGTTAAGTACAAGGAGTTTAGGTTGTAGCTCCTTGTGGGCCCTTTGGAAGTCTAGCCGCATGTGATTTTCATTCCGTGGTAAACATTGTAGATGATCGCGTTACTTTTCTTTGTGATTTCAGAATATTAATTTTAGGCGTGATTCCAGATAGTTTTTTTTTGGCAGCATGTTTTTTGAGACGATTCCTGAAATTGGTTGGAAAATGCTAGGGCTTCATGGCTCTGCTGTCCTCGTATTCCCTCGCTCCGAAAGCACTCTGAATGTAGCACGCTTCACTTAAAGAAAGGCACAAGTCGTTATAAAACCGCTACCAATTATTGGTGGTACTAATAACAATGCGAGTATAGATATTAGTACTAGTTTTGTCATGAGTACAAGTACTTAACAGTTTTAGTAGCATGTGCAGTATTACCGCTAGTAGAAGGAGAAGTAGTAGGTCGTCCACGTCCTCGTAGTAGTAGTAGTAGTAGCAGCAGCAGCAGTAGCAGCGGTGGTGGTGGTGGTAGTAGTAGTAGTAGTTGTACTACTACTACTACTACTACTAGTACTAGTAGTAGTAGTACTACTACTACTACTACTACTACAGCTGCAACTTGTCTGACCGCAGCCTCAGGTGCTGGCGGC